TAGCAATAATCATCTTGTAAGTCATGATTTTTTTAAGTTAACTGTAGGCAACATATTGGAAGTAAATTCGATGACGAGGAACCCACTTTGAGACTAATAATGGTTGGAGACAGCTTGAATAGGTAATGAAGAAAAACTTTAATATAAGTTTAACGCAACAGCAAATGTACAACGTTTGCTGTTGTGTAAAACTTATATCAAAGTTTTTCTTCATTACCCATTCAATCCGTCTCCAACCATTATATTGGAAGTAAAAGAAACCGTTGTTTGTACAATGTGAAGTGTGAATTTTATTACATGCGTATAATTTACGTATACATGCATTGGAACACAAGATTTATTACATTTTTTGCTAAATTTAACTACCTTCTTTCTGCCGATTATGAGAGTAATAATTTTATAGAAAATCATGACTTTTTCTACACTTTAACTCCTTATAGTGTTTCTAAGGCTATAATGAACAACTCTAGTATGGCGACCACCAACCATCGTTAGTTTAACTTCTCACTATACTTAATGCAAAGTGTTTAGCATAGCATTGCGCATTAGTTTAATTATAATGGTTTACGCTAATTACTTCAGTTGTCGTATTTACTACTGTTATTACTCCTCTGTTTTATCATTACTGTGGTCTTTCTCCTGTCTTATTATCGGGTAGCTCTTTAGAGTTTGACTTTACTTATTACTTCCGCCTGCCAGCTCTGTAAATTGACCATCTGTACAGTGGATAGTTAAAGTAATATTAGTTGTGTTACACTCAGTTCATAGTATGTTTAGTAAATGAATTTTCTTTTTATTATATTTAACTTAGTTATTTTAATTAGAGTATTAATATTTGCAGTATTTATTGCACAGTTTTGTTGTTCATATAATTAGCTGTTTTTATCTACATAAACGTGAGTATAACAGTATCGCCGAAAAATTTTATTTTAATATATATTATATATATATTATTATTATTATTATTAGAATGTAATTTACATTGTTACCTTAATATATGGATTAAGGCTAACCAAAATCTGCTATGATGACTAACCTTATAAGATGTTATTAGGATTATGGCCGACAATATCGCTGACACTGAAAGTACCAAACTGATAAATCAGTGCATTCTGACCATTTAAGTTTTTGTTTTATAATATTGCATACTCCCAACTAGACTAGCATATTAAATTAGTTGTATTAATTACATGGTTAATTTTTAGTTCTGATCAGAAGTTAATGATAAGTTATGGCATGCTTTTCAAGGTTACATTTTACCTAGAAAAAAATAAAATCATGTAAGACTTACACTAACTAAGACCTGATACATCTCTAATTAATAATGGTTCAAGACGGCTTGAATGGGTAATGAAGAAAAGCTTTAACATAACAGAAAATGTACAACATTTCGACAAGGTTTTGATGATGACAAAACCTTGTCGAAAT